GTCGTAATTCTTCTGAGCCTGAAAACACAAACGTGAGCTAGCCGGCGGGTGTGTGCCGGAAACCTCTCCGATGCCTAAGTCAGTAAGCTTGACAAATAGACAAAGTTTTATGTTCTCAGAAAGAATTGTGTTCAATTACCTCCTCCAAGGTGGTGCTTGTGAGCTTTTATAGGTTTCGAGTGGCATAATCCTAGTAGGACTTTTATTTCTCCATGCAGAGTCCTCCTAGGATTCATACTCCTAAGGATAATGCTTATCCTTTTACACCCTCCCCCACTGCTTAAACCAAGTGGGATGGTTTTTACTTTGGCCGAACTACCATATGACCGAAATAAGCTTGGCTATGCAGAGCCACTGAATAAACCGAACTCATCCTTAGTTCGGTCCTTGTGTCATCCCTTTCTTATCTCGGCTTTCTATGTAGAACCCATAGTACGGTCTTAAACCGAACCAACGACTTTCGGCCGGTCTAGCCCCAATACCGGTATAACTCCAAGTTGCTTTCGGACCGAAGTATCTTTTACAGTCACTGTGCCGAAATAACTTTATCCCCCTTAGGCCGGAGTAGCCTTGCCTCTCCTGGGCCGGAGTAACACTGCGGTCTTCCATGGGCCGAAGTAACATTGCGGCCTTTTCACCAAGTTTTTGGCACTTTGGGCCACAAAACCCATCTCATAGCTCGACCCAATTTTTATAAAAAATTACCCTCTCAATAAAGTTATTTTCATATATCCATCATCTACAACCTAAATGTTTAAAATGCTTTAGTTGAGCAGTAGGTTCAGCATGGTTGGGGCATGCCTGTCACGGGTCATTACATTTGATAGATATTATTCAGTAGAAGCCAAGCCATTCCCATTCCATAATCACTTCCAAAATAATCAAGTACTGGTCCCTGCATATACGCCATGTTTGGTGTAACAACATCCATCTAAATTAAAAATTGATAATTCAAAATTAGAGGTTATAAGTATTTCTCACTTAATTTCTCAAAAATTAGATTATTTAAGTCACTTTTAAGCTTCTTTTTTTTTTTTGGTGGGTGTGCGCGTGCACGCGAGCAATTTTTTTGCAAAATGAAATGTGATAATAAATGAAGAAACTAAAAGCAACACTTTCTCTGTTGGGGAAATTACCAAGCATGATTTTTGAAAAATTATTATATAAAGGTGAAAAAGTTTATTATTACATTTATAATGTTTACTATTTTTTTTTGTAAATATTTTTCTTAATTACTACTGATATGTAATTCCCTCTTTTCTATTTTCTATAATCAACTATTTTCAGTTTATATAAATAACTTTTGCCTCATAAACTTTAAGCAAAGCAGAAGTTATACCAAATATTCTAACAAATATTTTTAAAATAAAAAAAAGTTATGAACAACTCTGTAAAGTACAACAAATAGGGTTTTTACTCCATAGGTTATATCATATTTGTCTAGAAGAAAAACAAAAATTGTACGTATTACACTAAACGAATTGAACGAGCTAAACAGTATAACTATTTAAGTTTGGTTTGATAATTTTAACGAGTTTTAAAATTTGTTCAAATTTGGTTTATTAAACTTTCAAGTCGATTTCAAACGAGTTTTGATCAAGCCGAGCTTGAATAGTTTGATATTTTTATATAATTTTAGACTTATTAAACCAAGCCGAACGAGCAATTGACTGTTTAGATTTGGTTTGAAAATTTTAGCGAACTCTAAAATATGTTCAACATTAACTTGTTTATTTAACGAACCGAGCTCAAATGAGCTTTTAACAAATCGAACACAAGTTGAGCTTGAGTTGTTTGGTTCTTTTATCACCTTTAACAATATGTAAGTTATAACATTTGTAGATTTAATTATCGCAAATATCATAACTCAATTATATGGGAATCATAATTAAAAAAATAATAATTATAACCAAATACTACATAAGATATAATAAAAAATCTCTTCAATCATAAGCAAAGACATAAAATTATAACAAAGTGCATATGTAATACGCCCAAAGCATAGAATTTCCCATCTTATAAACCGCATCAAAACAAAGAACAATCACAAGGCTGGCTAACAAACTTCACGGATTGCATATAAAAATAAATATTAAAAAAATAGAAAAATAAATAAATAAAATCACACCAACTGCCTTTTGTTGTTGTCATTGTTGTTTGGACTTCACCTACTGCTTTTTGCCTGCCTCAACCTCCTTTAGTACATGTCTTAGTGTATGTATGTATATATATGTGTATGTATAAGGTGTTATCTGAAATTTGAACCTGGGTAAGGGAGAGAGGTCAGAGATGGAGTGGTCGCTGTGGATGGTGATTGTGATGGTGGTGGCGGCAACGGCAATGGTGGAAGGAGGAGGAGGAAGCAATGTTGCTAGAGAGAATAATAATGTGACATATGATGGAAGATCTCTCATCATTGATGGCCAAAGAAAATTACTCTTTTCTGGTTCAATTCACTATCCTCGCAGCACTCCTCAGGTAGTTAATTCAATTTTCTTAACAATAATGTTAGGAATTTAAAATATTTACTTAGAAAAAAGATGTGCTTCAATAGGGAGCCTCGTTATATAATATTAAATTTACATCATCTAACAAAATAGTTAAAATTGAATCTACATATTATTCGTATCTCGTCAGGAAGTGAAGATGGTTAAAATAAATCGTATCTCGTCAAAAAGTGAAGATGGTTAAAATAAGTCTGGTTATATAAAAGAACTAAAGAAGATGCTACTACTAATAAATTTTTATTTCAAATTGGTTGGTTTGTTTTTCTTTGTAGAGGCAAAATTATTGTGTCAATTAGGTTGATGACTGACAGTGTATTTGTACAGAAGTCAAGGTTTTGTCTCCCACATTCCCTTATAAACCAATCAAATAGTTCAACTTCAAATTAGTTAGTTAAAAATTTATTCGGGTCCAATTAAATAAGTTAGTTTTGAATACATTTTAAATTTTTTCAAAATTTTTAAATTAAGCTTGAACAATTAATTGGTCATTCGACTCAATTCAGTAAATTTAAAATTATATAAAAATATCAAATTATTCAAATTCAATTTAACAAAAACTTATTTGAAATCAGCTCAAAAATATAATAAATCAAACTTAAATAAATTTTAAAATTAAACTTAAATAATTAATTATTCAACTTTTTTCTAACTATAATATAATATATATATATACTCTTTATTTTACTTAATTTATTTTTAAAATTATTACTTATTATATCTATTTATCCATACAAACTGCCGTTTAAAAGCTCCCTGAGCCTGTCTCGTCCATCTTTCTTCCTCTTCTCTCCTTGTTCTCTCTCTGTCTCTCTCTCTCTCTCTCTCTCTCTCTCCAAATTTTTACAAAACCGGGATGAAAAACAATAAAGTAATACTCCTCCATATACCCATCTACATCTGTCGATCCTGCAGACTCCTCCATGAGAGAGAGAAGCTTGAGGTGTGACCCTCACCTAGAAAATCCAAATGGGTGGACAATCAGGTATCTTCACTTTGGTCTCTTGAGCCATCTTTTTCAATGTTACTAGTTTGGGCTTTTAAGGTTGCTTAGAAAAGAGATAAACATTAAACTGTAGGGCTGAATTTCTGATCTTGGAATTTCTTGTTTTTTGGACTTGTGATTCTTATGTAATAAAAATGTAGTTTGGGGACAGGGGCCAGCAGCAGGTATGAGAATGAAACCTTTCTCCCTGTTCGGATTGGTTTAAACTGCAAAGATAATGATTAAAACAATATTAATTCTAAAGAATTAGTCGAGGGCAAAAATCTTAAGTCTACTTTAACATGTAACAGTTTTAATTTATAAGTTAAAAAATTATTTAAATAATTTATAATATATATCAAAAAGTTACAAGACTTCTTTTTTTTTCTTTTTTCTTTTTTTTACACATTTTTTATAAAAAATTATTTTAAATATATTAATTTTTTTACTTTATATTTTAATTAAAAAATTTAAAAATTATTAAAATAACTTATTCTTGAACGAGGGCTAGTTATTGAATAGAAGGTATTATTGTGTTTGAGTGCCCACGGGTTACTAGTGGTTTACCCCGTCATTAAACTTCAGGTCACCCGAGATTAGTTCTACCCTACCAATTGGGCTGGGCTGGGCTGGGCTGGGCGAAGACCATTACCTTAGTCATGTTATTCAGTTTTCATGAGCCCATATACTTATTTGAATATTGTTCAATGTGTGCCCTAAAGCTTGTTGTTCAATTAAAATACTGCTTTTAGCATTTTTTATTTTATTTTTTTGGTTTAATGTGACTTTTTATGCCCCAAAAAATAAATAAATCTTACAGCCATTGGTTTAATATGTGTTAGGGTTGTGGCCCTTGTATTTCCTTTTCTGTTGTCTTTTTTTCTTTTTTTTTCTTTTTTTAAAGTGAATAAGTCATAACATAAAACAAGAAAATTTACAAGATTCTGAAGGTATACCCTACGTCCTACCAAAGCTATACAAAAAAAATCAACTAAAACAAAACAGCTACAAATATAGCCTCCGTTTGGGAAGTGGGTTGGCTTTTTGGCTTTTTGACTTTTTTGGCTATTTTAGCCTGGACTTAAAAGCTTGGTTTGGAAAGGGCTTTTTGGCTTTTTGGCTTTTTTGAGTTTTTTTGTGAGAGAAGAATGTAATGATTATGGGTTGGATGTGATGTTTTGTTTGTTATGGCTAAAATAGCCTATTTTGTTTTTTGTAGCTAAAATAGTCAAAAAAGCCCAAGAACCAACTTGCCAAACAGAGGCTACGAGGAGACAAAATAAAGAAGTTGGACCATACAACTTGTTCAATGTCTATATTTAAACCCAAAATAGGAAGAATGAACAAGTTCAAAACCCCAAACATCAGCAACATATCACAAAATAAAGCGCTGCCATCAAGCTCCCCGCTCATATCACTCCAAAACAGCAAGCACCAGGGCAGTATATCCCAAGAGAGTACAGACATTGCACCTGAATCATCCTTAAATAGCACCAGCAGTGTACGTCTAGGTAGCAAACAAGCTTGCCTCCATAAACCATGCTCGGCAGCATACGAAAAGAACAAACCTATCCTTGTTATGTTTTCCATAGCAGCACATGCATATAGTCCCCACCCAAAGATAATATTTCCCTGCACAACATATAGGGATAGGGAATCAAAACCAACAGCTACAATCATCTAGGACTAGACAGCTATAGACTCTAAACAAATTAAAAAGAAAGGAACTATTACAATATTTAAACGAAAGACACAGTATTTTCCATTTGGAGATTTTCCACTTAGACTGGCGCAACAGTGCAGCCTGGTCTTTGTGTCTCCATCACTCCCTGAAGCCTCCAGCTGGCCAGAACAAAGTTGCTGTCCATGTGACTTCTTTCCCAACCGATTAGAGTAACCTGGAAGTAACAATAGTACACATGTGAAACAAACAAATAAGCAACACCCATAACACAAATTATAACAAAGATCACAGTTTAGGAGGGCTGAATCACTCAACCCACAATATTCACACACTTCAACAAAGCATAACAGTGTTAGGGGCTTGGTTAAAATCATGGTACAATGAGTGAGAAAAAAAAAACAACTACAACAATATTTGGACAGTTAAACTTTTCTGTTGTTATTCTTCTTAAGTTTTGATCTTCCCGTTTGTATCAATTCTCCATATCTTTTGGTTTTGAATCAATTGACTAGTTGGACAGGTTTCTTAATTGCTGTGTTAATGTAAATTGTAAATAATAAATCACCACTCCACCTACCACATCCACTACCACCATTGACTAGTTGGACAGGTTTCTTAATTGCTGTTTGGCATCACACACACACCCACCCTGCCGCGCCACTGTGCGAGGATGTTGTGTTTTGTACTTCTCTTTTTTTCACATGGACATGAGGGCATGGGAGGGAGGGGAAGGCAGGGGTGGTGGGGTAATTGGGGGGAGAGAAGGTTTTGGGTTAGGGAGAAAGGGGATGGGGTATTAGGGTAATTTTATTCTGGTAGTGGAGGGTGTAATTAGCTCATTTTGCTTTTCCTAATAACCCTTTCCAAAGACAAACTCTAACAATGGGCTATTTGTACTTTTTCAAACAAAAGGAAATCTGTTTTTTCTATAAATCTTAGGACATGTATTTTTAATTTACCAAGAAGTAAATTATGGGATGAAAAGGTGTGATTTATAATAGACTTAAAAAAGAGGGAATAGTTTAATTTACTTGCAGTGCTGGGAAACTTGTCAAGAATGAAATTTCTAACAATGACTTTCGTTTGGTATTGGAATCTATTCAAAACCTACATATGATATAACTATTTTAGGTTAAATTTCTTCACAACAAAATGGCACCGTGTCATAAAATCATTGTTGGCACCAGAAATGGCTGCTAGAGTCAAAAAGTGATTGCTGGTATTAGAGACAAGTGGAATGATATTCTTGAACTGTCCTTTCCTATTTATTTTCAATGTGGCAAGTGCTACGGGCAAAAAAAATGAGACACAAAATACTCAGTAGGAGTGGGACTCACAATAAACTGCACCATTTGTGAAGCCCTCCATGTGAGTATTTTGTGACTTTTCTGTCAGGATGTAGCATATCTCTTTCAATAGGGATGTGGTCCTAAAAGATGGAAAATAACTCGTTGGGAGTTAATTTAGTCTCTCATTTTGAGGATCTTTTACGGATAAAACATTTTACTAATATGCATTAATCAAACTAGATAATACAACAAATTATACTAAAAGGTTGTATGTAATATTTTACAATCAATTAAATGAAGTGCACATTTATTATTTTCTTTTCCTTCACTTTCTCTTCTATCAATTAATTTAACTTTTTACTTTTCTTTTATTTTTATCTGTTTGTTGTACTTAACTAAACTTGAAATGTATTTTGAAAAACAATTCTCTTCAAACGAAAAATGTTCATTCTTTGCTTTTTTGTTTGATTAGAAAAATAAAGTAACAAGTAATGATCCAATCTCATTTGTACGTTGTCGCAAGTGCCACACCATGCACGGGAGCTTCAAAATACACTCAAATATTTCTCTCTACACTCAATTTATGTATTGAGACCCTTGTACTTAAAAGGAAAAAACGATAGAATGGTGGGTGTGGAGATTTTTTTTTTTGGGTATATTTAGGACCTCCTCGCATGAATACACAAACAAAAGTAAATATTGGGTATAACTGTAACACTATGTGGTGGTATAACAATGATACCTCAAATGGAAAGAAATGAAAATGATTAAATGGATTTACTTTGTTTTGCTAAGTTATTTATATGGATGTTCTACTAGTTAGCAGCCAAATAAAAAACAAAAATTTAATAGAGAGTATATAAATCTATGGTAACAGGAACCTATTTTTCTTTCGCAGATGTGGCCATCTCTGATTACTAAAGCCAAGGAAGGAGGGCTGGAAGTTATACAAACCTATGTGTTTTGGAACCTCCATGAGCCCCAACCTGGTCAGGTCAGCTACTGTCTCAACTCAGCCCCAGACGAAAATCTCTCTCTCTCTCTCTCTCTCTCTCATGTTAATGGTGGGTTTTGTGTTGAACAGTATGATTTCAGTGGAAGATATGATTTGGTGAAGTTCATTAAGGAAATCCAAGCACAGGGGTTGTATGCTTGTCTGAGAATTGGACCCTTCATTGAGAGTGAATGGACATATGGGTTGGTACCATTATACTTTCTGCAATGAGTGGAGCCTTCCCTAGCACCATTTCTGTCTCTCCACCATATCTTTCTTGAGGAATTGTGGATATAAGAATTTTTGGAAATTGGCATAGATTACCCACGCTTAGCTTTTATTTTTCATGCATGGCCATAGTATGTATTAAGATTGATGTATTATTTGATTGTTTGTATGTATGATACAAGATTGATGTGTATATATTTTGTACAAGAATTCCTATTATATAGGAGATGATTCTGGAGTAGGTGAGGAGTGAGTGGTGGAGGTAGGTTTGGTGGAGTGTAGTAGGTGATTTACATTTACATTAACAGTATGGTATGTCAGAATGGAGTGGTTTGTTTAGTAAGAAATGCAGCACAAAACTTTAATATTGTTTGAAATTATCTACAGCCTAATGTTTGCTTTCAATTGTTAGAAAGTGAGAAAGAAAGGTCATTGACTGGTATTGTTTTCATTTGAAAGAATGGACTAATAATACCACACTATGGTCACCCCAATAAAGTAAACTCGAGTTTCAAAAGCCACCACCTAAGCCAGTGAACCAGGCAGCTGATACCTTATTTTGCTCAATACTGGTATGACTTTCACTTTTATTTGACAAAATAGTGGCCTTGTGAGATCCAATTGTTTCCTGTGATGTCATGCTTAATAAATTAATCTTTAACTATTATTTAAAGCGACGTAATGGTGGTGGGTGCAGTTCAAATTACGTTTAAGCATTTTCCCTGACTATATACAGAGAGATTCAGACACAGGTTATCATAAAGTTTACTTGAAAGGATGCTCTTGATTATATGATGTGATAATGGGAATGCACTGTGATTGGCTTTTAATTTTGGGTTCACGTGCATATGACAATCATTAGGATTGCCTTCACCTTGCACTGGACTGAGCTGATGTGGTTTTGTAGGGGCTTCCCATTTTGGCTCCATGATATCCCTGACATTATCTATCGATCAGATAATGAGCCCTTCAAGGTACTCTCTCTCTATGTATATCTGAAACACACTCAAACACGTGCTAGTTTGTGTATTTGTGTGTGACCTAAGTATTAACTCCTCAGCAATAAGGTTAATGAATATGTTCTATAGAGCACTCTGCTGAAGACTACATTTATATTTTACTAGTATTTTTCCTGATCTTGTATAGAGCACTCTGCTAAAGAAATGCATAACAGATTCATGCGACCTTATTTCTCATCTCTTTTTTTCTTTTTTCCTTTTTTTTGGTGGTGGTAGTTTTACATGCAAAACTTTACCACAAAGATAGTGAACATGATGAAGTCAGAAGGTTTATATGCTTCACAAGGAGGTCCAATTATACTATCACAGGTGAAAAAATAACTTTCTCAGATATTAATCTACTTGGTTTTTCTGCTAATAAGACTTATGACTGTATATTTTTTATTCTCTGCATCCTTGAAAAAATAACTGGTATATTTTTTACCACAAAGATATTTTTTGTTCTCTGCTAATAAGATATATGCTAATGTAGATTGAGAATGAATATCAAAACATTGAAGCAGCATTTAATGAAAGTGGACCTTCATATGTCCGTTGGGCAGCAACAATGGCAGTGGGACTCCAGACTGGTGTACCATGGATCATGTGCAAGCAAAGTGATGCTCCTGATCCTGTGGTTGGTCCACTATTTTCAGTTTGAATTAGTGGTTTTAGCAGAAATATAAACTAGACCCGTGGCAAAACCATACCCTTAACAGTTTGAGACTTTGATCTATAATCTAGAAGTGTTTTAATGGATGTATTGTTGAACTTCAAACTTGCAGATCAATACATGCAATGGGATGAGATGTGGAGAAACTTTTCTAGGACCCAACTCTCCAAATAAGCCATCAATGTGGACAGAGAATTGGACATCATTGTATGGTTTCACCACTGTTTTTACATTCCATTGACTGATTGGAAAGGGGAAAAAAGCAAATAAAAGCAGCTCCTTTTTTAATCGTTTTGAGCAATGGTTAAAATGATTATTTCGATTATGTCCAACCGGCTAAATTTATTTATTTATTTTTCCTTCTGAAGCTATCAAGTATATGGTGGAGAACCATACATAAGGTCTGCTGAAGACATTGCATTTCATGTCACACTCTTCATTGCAAAAAGGGGAAGCTATGTGAACTATTACATGGTACATTTGTCTGACATTGAAATCCAATTATAGTTAGTCATTGATTCTTAATTGGTTGTACATTAATCTATCAGTATCTATATGAATGCTCGTCATTATTCCTCCATAGCTACAAAAGCTTTTGAATACACATCCTCCCAACATTCAAACCAAACATTGTACTTGCATTAATCTAGTATCATGGTGGAACAAACCTTGGAAGAACCAGTGCTGCCTATTTCATAACAAGTTATTATGACCAAGCTCCCCTTGATGAATATGGTGAGTAATTCGCATTTTATCGTGCTCAACAATTTTCAATGTAAGAAAGAAAGATCAAATATTTCATCAAATGCAGGCTTATTGAGACAACCGAAATGGGGACATCTAAAGGAGCTGCACGCTGCAATGAAGCTCTGCTCCATGACTTTGCTGCAAGGAGTGCAGACTAATTTCTCTCTAGGTCAACTTCAAGAGGTATTCCCTTTACACTTGAGGTTTCTCTTGCAAGTTAGTTAGTTTTTACAACAATATACAAGATAGTAGTAATAAAGAATAAGTTGTTTAATGTATTACAGGCTTATGTTTTCCAAGAAGACTCGGGAGGGTGTGTAGCCTTTCTGGTAAACAACAATGGAAGAGATAATGCAACTGTCCTATTTCAAAATGTATCATTTGAATTGCTTCCAAAGTCAATAAGCATCCTACCAGACTGTTCAAATGTAATTTTTAACACTGCAACGGTAAGCTTTAGTATTACGTGGAATTTCCATAAGCAATTATGGTCTATCTGTTTTGGAATCACACACAGCTTAATAGTTGGGGTAAGAAATACGGAATTCAGTATTACTAGGTAAAGTAGTTATGCCTCTCGTAACTTCTTGGCATAGAGTATTAGTATTTCATAATTACGGTTAACTTTTCAATTTTCTATACATGCTTAATAGTTATACCTACCACCTGCCCTTGAGTGAAACTTGCTTCTTTAGATTATGTGATAACGGTTGGAGCCCACATTGTTACTCTCGTTTTTGGAAACTGATGTATGATATTCTAACTTGTAACGAAAAGAAGAACAAAGCATGAGATACACCGGCTAATACTTTCTTCTCTCAAGTACAAGCGTAAATTGTTACATGGTCTTCAACAGAACTCAACTCCAAAAGTTACCCATTGAGGGGAGGGTGCTCTCACGCTTATCTACTACATATTACTTTAGTACTCAAACAATGTGGGACTTGCTTCATACCCTCACTCACGCCCAGTGTGCTCACTCGGCAACACCTGCGGCGTGCAAGCCAAGGGACACACACCCTACCCATCCCTAGTACTCGGGCTTTGATACCATGTTATACAGTGGGGTGGGACATTGGCCCGTTGACCCGCTCAGCCCAGCCCTGCCCAATTTTTCTAGGGCTTGGGAAGGTTATTTTAGCCCATAAGGCCAGTCTAGGCCAATATTTTCAATATGAAATATTAATAGGCTGGGCTTGGGATTTATATTTTTAACCTGGCCTGGCCTGACCCATTATTTATTTATTTATAATACATTAAAAAAAAATTGAGGTCTAGAATTTATCTTTGTTAATTTTATTGAAACTCACATTTGTGGTGATGTGTGATTGAATTTATTTAAGAAATCCTTCAATTTATACACAAAATTTTTCAATTTATAATGCTATTAATATATTTATTTAAGAAATATAATTTGTGATTGAATTTAATTATGAAATGTTTTAATTTTTTTTTTTAACATATAATTTGATGAGTGAGTTTGAGATTTGTAATTATTTTTTGGATCGGACTTAGGCAGATATAGAGGCCTGATGTTAGGGTCGGGCCAGGTTTGGACAGACACAAAGTCTCTTATTAGTGTTGGCCTGGCCTGAACCTGGCCTGACCCGACGTGATGTTTGTCCACCCCGTAGAACTTAACCCCAAAAACTAGCTATTGAGGTGAGGGTGCCTTCACGCTTATTTACTACATATTAATTTAGTACTCAAATGATTTGGGACTTCGTTTCACATAAACAACCAATCCACTATAAATTTTGATGCAGCTCAAACAGAGTACATGAATGGGATCACTGTGGAGATGATAATGATATCCTTTTTCATAAATTTTAAATCCTCACATACATAAATGCATTTGTAGATAAATTAGGTACTCTAAAAGATTAACTTCCTACTAAAATATAAGGTCTTCTTCATTAGTGAAAGCTTATAATAATATGCACAATTAAAATTCTCCATTTTCCCACTTGCATTACTTTCAGGCTTTGCATAGCACTCCAAGGCACATATGCAATTCTACTAGGATATCTCTGTAGAGCTAGTCTGCCCATTCCTTGTTGGACTTGTATATGTGCAACGGGTAGATCACTATAGTGTGCCCGTTACATAAGATACCGCCTTTTCTTGCTGACCCTCACACCATAATTCATGTGACTCTCATGATATATAGTTGTTAACACAAATTAACATCAAGAGAATCTAATGGAACTCCAGTGCAAAGTCCACAAAGGTTTTTCACTCTTTGTTTTGTCATGCATAGGTGAAAACAGAGCATAATGAGAGAATGACAACATCGATCGAATTATTTGATTCTGCAGAGAGATGGGAAGAATTCGAAGATATCATCCCAAACTTTTCAGATACCTCAATAAAATCAAATACATTGCTAGAGCATATGAATATGACCAAAGATGAATCTGATTATCTTTGGTATACCTTCAGGTATTGTCATCTCTTTGGAAACATGTAAAAATGCGATTGAAATAATAGGTTGGTTTGGGTAATGAAATCATACACTTCATTTAATTGTGTTGTACATAGGTTTCAACAAAACTCAACATGCACCAAGCCATTACTACATATCGAATCTCTTGGACATGTTGTTCATGTTTTTGCCAACAAAATGTATTTTGGTAAGTCATGTTTATGCCTGTTTATGGAATTTATGAAAAGAACATAATACTTCTAGATTTTTTATATCTTCTATTCGTTTCAGCGGAATGATCATGATCTGGAGAATAAAACCATAGAAATAAAATGGATAATTTACACTGACCTCACTTGAGGTTTGGAGAAAATACAAGCCCCACAGTTTTGCGATAATTACATTAACCTCCCAAAAAATTAGTAACTCCAGTTTAGCTCCATGAAGTTGTAATTCTTGATCTTGAGTAGGCATATTTAATCCTTCACAACTAAAAGCTATGTTTATGTTTTTTTCAGGAACTGCACATGGAAGCCATGATGTCAAGGGATTAACTTTTGAGAACTCAATATTGTTAAATAATGACATAAGCAATATATCAATACTAAGTGTAATGGTTGGATTGCCGGTAATATAGTTCGTGTGGATGTATTTATTTCCACCATTTTTGCCATATTAAACTTCTTCTCCTCTTCTCTCAAGTATTAACTGACAATTGTCTTTGACTATTATTTCAAGGACTCGGGACCTTTTCTCGAGAAAAGATTTGCTGGATTGACGAGTGTGGAGATTCGATGCTCTGAAGAAGTTTACAATTTTACCGACCATGAATGTGGATATCAAGTAAACTCTTCTATTCTATGTAGCCGATGGAAAAAAAAAACACAAAAACTCTTCTATTCTATGTAGAACAATTCATGTATCAAAGTCGAAGCTCTTCCAAAATTTTGTTCTCAAGCATCATCAAAATTGACTTGTCATTTCAGGTTGGGCTTTTGGGAGAGAAGTTGCACATATATGATGAACAAAACCTAAGTAATGTGGATTGGAGTAAAACCAGAATCTCCACTAATCAGCCACTCACTTGGTATAAGGTATTCAATAATGCAAGTAGGTTTTCATGTTTATAGTCACAAATAATTTATTTAAGGATACATTGTATTATTCAAGAAACAAAATAAAAAATAAAAAATTAGTCTAAAAACATGCATACCATTAATTTACTGAAATGAAATTAACACTGAATTAAGTTTCAACATCCATTACTTTCATGAGCTTGGTTCAATTTCTATGATGACTTGAAGAAAGTGAAAAAAGATCTTCAATTTAGCCAAAGGTTAAAATTGAATTTTCACAGTCATTGATTCAACTGGGTAAACTACTACACAATAATACCTTTAATTTCTTATCCTTATTATCACTTCTTAAAAGATTAGTCTAATTAAGTACATCCCTAGAGAAAATGATACAAAATACCTTCTTTTTTTTTATGTGGCATGCACAATTACAAGATTGCATATTTTGATAATGTAGTAGGCTATGACTCACTCCCCCAAAAATTAGCAGGCTATGTTTGATGCACCCAGAGGAGATGACCCAGTTGCTTTGAACCTCAGCACCATGGGCAAAGGTGAAGCTTGGGTTAATGGACAAAGCATTGGTCGCTATTGGATCTCATTTCATACCTCTAAGGGAACTCCTTCGCAAACACTGTATGTTATGTTACTTTTCATACTTTTAGATTTTTTTAAGCGACAAATTCTCACAAGAGAGCGTTTGTTGATCCCCCCGTGTGCGTATTTATCTAGGGGTTCTGGGAATTCCATAGTGACAGTGTGCCAGGCCAAGAGTAAGGGTCTATGTACTTACATGGCCCAAAAAAATAGGAGTAATATGGAAATTCACAAAACACTATTGATTGGGCATACCACCCCATAGTGTTCCTGGAAGACTAGACAATTTATGCCCATGTGTAATACCCCCGCATTGCTGGGCTCTCATGAGAGAGAGGTGGTTGTGGAACTTCAAGTACCAAATTGACACAAATGGTAAACTATGGGGACTTCTACCGTAATTTTCCGTATTCTGTAACTAAACAAATTGAATGCCAATTGTTTGTGTTATGTACCCTCTCTCTCTCTCTCTCTCTAATAGTTCTTGCTTTATCATTTCTTTCATAGGTACCATGTGCCTCGATCCTTCTTGAAACCTTCTGGAAACCTCTTAGTTTTGTTTGAAGAAGTTGGAGGGGACCCTCTTCAGGTTTCCTTGGACGCCATTTCTGTCTATGATGCCCACATTCATGTTGATCACCTCTCTCAATTTACAAGGTAATAAATCAGCTATGAATGAACAATGTATCTGTGTGTACCCTTCTGCAAAACATGTTGCATCTCTGTGGTTCAGATTTATTAGTAACATTTGAGAAAACTGTCTTTCAAATTGTATTTATGAGAAATTAATAAAATCACTAATTTATTGATTGTGATCACTAAATTTTTTTTCCGCTTGATATATCTTAAGGCCATGTTTGTTTGAATAGATTGGGGTTAGATGAGATTAGTATTTTCCTAAGACTGTTAACTTTCGAATTATCAATCCAAAGTATGTCCAGGTAGACTATTACCCCCGGACTCCAATTTCATTTAACCAAGAGTGGAATTATGAATTTTGTTAGGTTATTAATCTAATCAAAAAGTCTATGTGCTCCAAACAAACATAGCCTATGTGTTGTCACGTTAGGGCATTCAGATGACTGTCATACAGAATGGAAAGGTGGAATTAGGAATACAAGGTCCCTATTTCAATTATTTGAGGGCTATAATCTCTGAACTCTCTAGTTTAATTCTTGGCTAAGCTAATGCTCTTGTTTTTCGCCTGGTGATTAGGAGTGGTGCTCTTCATTATCGCCAAGTTTGGGTGTCTAATCTAGGTGTCTCTATTTACACACCACATTTTGTCTCAAGACACATCATTAATTGGTTATTTTTTATTACAATAATGACCTTGCCTAAAATGACCAAAATGGCCACAAAAGAATATCAATACACATCTTAGTTGAGTACGCAACATCCAAACCCTAACCCTAGCCACCATTGTTACAGCCACCGCCATTTCACCACCACTATCTCGTCACCCCTTTCCAGCTCCAACGAATCCCCATGATTTCTCTTTCTCGCAATCTGCAAAGTGGTGGGTTGCGGGGTTGGTGATGGAAGGGAGGCACGATTAGGCTACGAAGGAGACAGTGGCGGAGCGCGAGTGAGAAGAGGGGTTGACAGCGGTGAAGGTGATCTACGAAATGAGGCGATGACAGGGCTAAAAATGTGTGACGCCCCCAAAATAATACAATAAATAAAACCCATAAGCGAAATGATAATAGAAATAATATGCCTTCATTCATCAAAGTTCATATACAGAAAATAACGCATGCGATATACATTCACAAACTGTTCATCCTGAATCTACAGCATGTGTTGTAATGATGTAAGAACTAAAAACTAAACATCTTTCCATGTCATATGCCCTATGGGCTTACATCTTTTCAAGTCATCGCTTGGTTATAGCAAAACTGAGCCTAGTTTTATACAATTAAAGCCCTTGGCTATACAAAAAGAATACAACAAAAGACAAAAGCTCTTACTCCCAAAAGTCCCTCCAAGCTATTGCCTTGGCGGAAGCATATCACCAACACCTGAAAATGGTTTTCCCAAATAGGGTGAGCTAAAACCCAGTAGGAACAATCTAATACAATATATGAGATTTAACAAAGAAATAAGTACAATGTGCATATACAATGCCTGTGACAAAACATTCACATTTTTATATAATCATAAAGTACCAAGTTCATATCTCAATCCATTTTCTTTTAATTCATCTCAATTCATGAGCTAATTTCATTATCTTTCAACAACCCAACTGAGATTACAACTCAGTGGTTCTCCAATCAACACGATTACCACACAAACACTTCAATTTGCCATTTTACGAAAATTTCGTCTGTGGGATCGACACCCATGTATACGCGCGGTTTCTGGACTTTCACCCAAGACACTCCAGCCAACTTAATTTCAATAGAGTCCATCCCCTATCTCCTCTCAGACATGGAGTACATCCTATTTCTCCTCCCAAACATCATACATATATAATGTATTTAAAACATAGTTATATTCAATAACAACCAACAATAGATTAGTTTTAATTCACATAATCCTCATACAATTTCTACAACAATCATAGCTATTCTCCACCGATAGCCCAATACAATTATTTCTAAACAGATATTCAATTTCAAGACAGATAATTTATTTAAAATTTTCAAAGGTGTGAAGTAATACATATCCAACTCTACCATTTACTTCAATATTCGTCCAATTTCATATTTACAACACTAATTTCATTTATTTATACAAAATAAATATTTGAATCATTTTAGGGCAAACTCCTTTTTTTCCAAATATTAGCCTAAGGTCAAAATCAACTATTTTGTAACCATACAACCTTACATTTAACCTCATAAACATTTCCACCACATACAAGCGTTTGATAACGTTTACGTTTTTAGATTATGTTTACAAAAATTTTATAAATTGGTTTTTGTTTATTTTTAAAAAAACATAAATTACAAGCGTGTTTGGTTTGAACAAAATGTTTAAAAAAAATTAAAATATAAACTAAAAAATATGTTTATTCAGGCCTAAAATATTTATATTTGTATTTATTATTTATGACAATAGGATCACACACATTTATAATTGAAAAAAAAATTATTTGAAAAAAAAAAATTGAAATTTGAAAATGTAAACTCATTTTTTGATTTTATGTTTTTTTCTTAAATTTATAAACTGAGACAACCATTTATAAACCAAACAAATTATCAAACAAGTTTTTATAACAGTTTTTAAAATTTTTGTAAATATAAACTGAAAACTGAATAGTTACCAAACAGGCCCTTAGAAACCCCTCTTTTGATTTTACAACCCAAACCCCAGGTTTGTCCATAATACACCCAAAGCCCACCATTGTTACACAATCACCAAATAACTAAGTTAAAAACCATATTAAAGCGTAGAAAATCTCTATCTCAAGCTTAGAAGACCAAAACAACAAAGGAGAAACTTCAAAGACGTCAAAACCAACTTTTACTCAGATCAAAACGGAGCTCTTAAGGCGTTCTACCTTTTTCTCAAAGGCACTAGGGTAAAGATCCCACTGGATATAGGTGTAATATTAGAGAGAATATGAGTCTTAGAGAGAGAAGCTCAAGATCTAGGTTTTTGGAAAGTTTTAGAGAGAGAGAGGAATGAAAAAGTGAACTAAAAAGTCGTTCTCACAGACTGATATACATGCAGTTCGTTCGAGCGCAAGAAGTAACGCTCAAGTGCTAGACACATAGTTCCGCTTGAGCGCAAGAAGTGACGTTCGAGCGCAGAATACACACTTTCAGAAATTTTGCAGACGAAGGACATCACTTGAGCTCAAGATTGGCTGCTCGAGCGTCCACCCGCTCGAGCGTAGGAAACGCCACTCGAGCGTAGAATACACTAATACACTTTTTCAGTATTTTGCAAGTCTGCAAAAATACTGAGAGTTTGCAAAGCCCGCTCAAGCACAAGAAGTGATGCTCAAGCGAAGGAGTAAAAATCTGGGCAACAAAGGTTCAAAAAACAAGTAACCAACCTGTTCAAAGCAAGACCAATACAATCCAATAACCAAATTCAAGGAAGAACAAAAGGGAAGAGACATGAACAACCATACGAGGCTATGAAATCCGAGTCCAGCATACAGAATGGGTCGGGTCTAAACCAAAAATGTTATAACCTCCCCTCTTTAAGGAATTTCATCCTCGAAATTACAAATCGAGTTCAAAATCATTATTAAACCATTCACAACAATGTTAATCTAACAAGTTCAATACTATGACCCACTCTCCGGTCATCCATTCTCGTCAACTCGATACACAAGTTCCAATATTGAAAGTGCAATTTACAATTCCCAAAACTTTTACAATGTTTACATCAAAATTCAAGTTTTCAAAATTTACACGACATATACAATGCTTCCAAAAATGATACAACACACACGGTATTCCACATTCTCAAAACATATGCAATGTTTATATTGAATCCATGTTTCCAAAACACCCCATAACTTATACAATGTTCAGCAACATAATCTTTCTTTCAAATACTGAGGCAATCAATATTGGAAAGTTGTTTGGTATTGTATTTTCCAAAACTAATTAGGAAACACTAGAATTGTATTTTCCAAAACTGATTTTATACCCCAAAAAATCTTGAGAGAATTTTCAAACTTTTTTATTTTTGTAAACACTACAGCATTTTTACCCCTTTTTCAAATAAAAATGAAAAAAAATAACAATTCAGTTTGTAAAAATAATTTCAGATCAATAAAAAATTTTACAAACTTCAATAATTAAAATCATAAACTTTTTTATGAAACAATAATTATTTTGAGAAGATATCACTGATGTGTAGTTTCTTCCCCTTTTTTTCTTACTGAAATTCTTTCTTGAATTTGTTATTATTTCTATATTTTCCAATCTCCAGAAAATTTTAAAAATCTAAAATTTGGTAATGCTAGATTTAAATAGGGTTTGATGTAAATATTTTGGTGAAATTAAGTGAAGCTTAAAAAGCTTGAGAGAATGACTTTTGTTTTCATCCCATTTCAAATATACCAACACAGTTTCATCATTTTTGTCAAGAACAACTTCCATCCCATTTTCAAGCTTACCAAACAGCTTCATGATGTGCCAAGAACTACTCATCAAAGTAAGCAAAAACATAGCAACAACATTGCATCGAAGTATAGAAAAAAATAGACCAAAAGTAAGATTCAAAGAGGCATCCCAACATTGTAAGATTCAAAGAGGTGTGTTCTATCTCAAGAAGAAGAAGAAGAAAACTAACCCTAAGATTGAAGAACAAAAGTAAGGAATAGAAAACTTACCACAAATGATTGAAGAGAAGATTTTATCTTCTAGTCCCAAATCTTTACCAAAACAAAGAAACGTTGATATTCAGCACAGTTCTTCGTTCGATTCAATGTTGTGACCCTAGCCCCAAAATTTGTCTGCAGAGAGATGAGATGAGACCAAATCTCTTGAAATAGAGACGAAAAATAAGAAAATAAGGAAGGAGGATTACCAGACAAAGCTTATAGAACAACGTTTCTTGAAATAGAGATGAGACCAAATCTCTCACACTTATTCAAATTAGGAAAAGCTTGGATGGAAACAACGTTTTTTTTAGAGTGAGAGAAAACCACAGCAGCTTCCAAATTTGAGCCCAACCGAGCCG